TTCCCCCCCCCCCCCACATAGTACCACCTGGTTCACATGGTACCACCCCCCCAACGTAGTACCATCCCCACGTGGTAGTTCCCAGCCCTTCCCCCCACATAGTACCACCTGGTTCACATGGTACCACCCCCCCAGCCTAGTACCATCCCCACGTGGTAGTCCCCAGCCCTCATTGTACCACTCAGGCCAGATAGTATCACATAGTACCCAAGATAATACCACCTTAGCCTATGTAACACCGCCCAGCGCATATAGCACCCAGCCCACATAGTACCACCCAATCATCAGATCACAAATCCACACACAAATTGACACAATCATATTACCTATAGCTTTTTCTATACTCAATGAGTCTCAATCTAAGTGTCCATTTTGTGTGCTCTCTGGTCTTTTCCAGTGCCTCTCCTGCGTCTAAGTGAGCACCTTCAAGTGAGCACCTTCAAGTGAGCACCTTCAAAATGTGCCAAACAGTCGGTGGCAGTTTGAATGGAGTGCCTGCCACACTCTTAGGAGGCCTGCTATGTTTGCAATGCCTTTGTGTGTGTGTGTCTGTGTGTGTTTCACAGGTCATGACACCACTCACTCACTGATGTGACTCCCTGGCTCGACCCGGAACACATAGGATCACATAGCAACTCGACCTGGAACACATAGGATCACAAATCCACACACAATCATATTACGTATAGCTTTTTATATACTCGATCTAAGTGTCCACTTTGTGTGCTCTCTGGTCTTTTCCTGTGCCTCTCCTGCTTCTAAGTGAGCACCTTCAAGATATGCCAAACAGTCGGTGGCAGTTTGAATGGAGGGCCTGCCACACTCTTAGGAGGCCTGCTATGTTTGCAATGCCTCTGGGTCTGTGTGTTGCAAGTTTGGACCAGAACAGCCCCTATTCCACCCAGACAAGTAGATTCGAGCTGAGCCAGCCCAACAATTAAAGAATTCACCATTTTGAATTAGTGTTTACTTGGGGTTTCTTCGGGGCAACAGCTCCTCTTTTACTATGCCTCGCACGTACAAGACTGCCTCTGTGTGCGTGTTTTGCAGGTCATGACACCATTCACTGATGTGATTCCCTGGCTCCAACGGTGCTTGAAATCTACAATCCATATACTTTCACAGGACCTGGTGTGAACAGGTGCCCATCTTCTGTGGTCCGTGCCATACGATTGGACTGCCTTGTCGAGGCTGCCTTGCTTCCTGGCTTCATTTCTGCTTTCCTTGTGGTGTTGCCATATACCAGTGCTGTCCCGCTGCTTGGATGGCCTTCCCCTTGCCTTGAGTGCTACCTCACTGCCTCGCTGCGCATTCGCACGGCAGTGACGGCACCCCTCTCTGTGCCTTACTGCGCTGTAACAGTTGCTGCTACCTTGTTGTGCTTTTCTGTTGCCGCGACCTTGTTGTGCTTTGCTGTCTTGTTTCCATGCTGCTCACCATGGAACAGGCCCTTCTGCTTGCCTTCAAGTTGTCGTTTGGCCCCCCAGCTGCCATCCCTGAGTGCTTTTCTGTTGCGCGGCCTTCGGTGCCTTGTTCCATCAGCCCTGCCTTGCACGTTGTCAAGTCACCTGTTGGCCATCCGCCTACAACAGGGGCCAAAGGAGATTATGACTCAAAACCAAAACCTCAGTATGGGTATAATGCAGACTGGCGACAGTGTCGAGGGCTCAGCCTCCTGATGAGTCCGTCTGTCATGATCTTGCTCTTTCTTTATCGTATCTTCTTTTTTTATTTTTTTTTCCAATCTGTTTTCCGGCCGGTTTCTTTATTATGCCGTAGACCAATTGCAGATACGCTTTCCATGCTCGGCTCAAGTTAGCGCTTGTAGTGCGCAGTGGTCTATAGCATCCCAAACACGACAAACACAGACACAAAGTTCTGAGTTGGAACCGGTTGCTTCATCTCAGGGTCTAGTCATCTGCCAGTGGGTGGAAAACGAGTTGTTATCGTCTCAGTTCACATGTGGAAGAAACCGAGGTCCACCAGTTTGTTCCAAATTTGGATTTACTCATCTTGGTAGAAAAAGGTTTATTGCGGTGACAGCTTAGAACACACACACACACACCATGTCAGACGCATCTGAATAGAAATACACACACACACACACACACACACACACACACACACACA